TCTATCTATCTATCTATCTATCATCTGTCTGTCTGTCTATCTATCTATCTATCTATCTATCTATCTATCTATCTATCATCAGTCTGTCTATCATCGGTCTCTCTATCTCTATCTATCTATCCATCCATCCATCCATCCATCCATCCATCTATCATCCATCCATCTATCATCCATCCATCTATCATCAGTCTGTCTGTCTGTCTGTCTGTCTATCTATCTATCTATCTATCTATCTATCTATCTATCTATCTATCTATCTATCTATCTATCTATCTATCTATCTATCTATCTATCATCTGTCTGTCTGTCTGTCTGTCTGTCTGTCTATCTATCTATCTATATATCTGTCTATCTATCTATCTATCTATCTATCTATCTATCTATCTGTCTGTGTCTATCTATCTATCTATCTATCTATCTATCTATCTATCTATCTATCTATCTGTCTATCTATCTATCATCATCATCATCGGTCTGTCTATCTATCTCTATCTATAGTAATAATGAAAATATATTTACAGTAGAAAGTCGCTCATACTCCAGAGATTTCAGATGATCAGTTGTCTGGGATGTCTCAGTGTTGCAGGAGTTGGTTTGGAGATTCGGGATCGTCCCGCTCGGCTGAAACACATTCCTGAACCGCGGCCCAGGATTCTACGGTAAACACAAGCTGGTTGTAAAGCCGAGCGGAGCAGTAAATCTGGGCACTGTGTGGAAAGTTTCCATGACTGGAGGAGGCTAGTGAAGAAGTGCAGCGGGTCTCTGTCACTGATGGACCAGAAGAGCCTGAACACACACACACACACACACACACACACACACACACACACACACACACACACACACGTCTGGATCTGCAGGAATATCCTAAACCTCTTCAGCTGATCAGAGGGGGAATGGAGAATACCTGAAAAACACATGCAATATGATGCGGATGGATGGATGGATGGATGGATGGATGGATGGATGGATGGATGGATGGAAAGATGGATAGATAGATAGATGGATTGATAGATGAATAGATGGGTAGAGCGATATAGATGGATGGAAAGGTGGATAGATAGATGAATAGATGGGTAGAGCGATATAGATGGATGGAAAGGTGGATAGATAGATGGATATAGCAATAGATAGATGGAGGATGGACAGATAGATGGACAGATGGATAAACAGATGGATAGATAGATGAATAGATAGAGATAGATAGATTAATATATGGATATAGCGATAGATAGATGGACAGATGGATACTATAGACAGATAGATGGACAGATAGATAGATATATAGATAGATGGATAGATAGATAGATGGATATAGCGATATATAGATGGACAGATGGATAGACAGATGGATAGATAGATAGATAGACAGATGGGTAGATGGATGGATAGAGATAGATAGATTAATAGGTGGATATAGTGATAGATGGATAGATGGACAGATGGATAGACGGATGTGTAATCACCATCTCTGCACTAGAGAACATGTATCGCTCACACCGCTTCATTCACGTCACATTAAACAGCAGCAACTCTGATGACAGTCCATATTCAGAGATCAGAAGCTCAGAGTGACGGAGAGCGAGCACACACACACAAACACACACACACACACGATCCACACACACACACGCAATCCACACACACTCATCATTCCTCACACTAAACCAGGAGATGAGCACACGCTGACATCACCCGCTCCCACATTCCCGCCTCAGAATAGGCCTCAGCGCCGGGGACGCTGGGATACTTCACTCTTCATCACGGGTCTCAGGGACTTTCAGCGCACCCTTCGCTTTCCAGGGTTCTGTGGCTCATCGCAGCTGCTCTCCGGCACAGATATCCCGAGGATTACTCCTGGGATACGCTTTGGTTATTATCCGAACGCTGATGGGAATTGCACCGCAGAATCCCTCGACTGGTCGGTCCAGGATTAAAGCGGAGGAGAAGAGGAGTGCATTAGTGGCTCTCTGAGAACGGCAGGGTTTCAGGATCTCGTCTCGTGTTTAAAACAGCAGAAAGCGTCCTGAAGGATTCGCCAGAGGACACACACACACACACACATTCCTTTCGGTTGTAATGAGCAGAGACACATAATCCACAGCGTTCCTCAGCGGTGTCATCATCTGACCGATACACACTTATGCAACGCGGCTAAAAGTAGATGTTTACAGTCAGAGAAGCGCGATTATACACTCACTCGAAGAGAAAGACTCACACTGCACTGTCAGCATTAATATATGGCCTCGTTATTCACTCTTTTATTATTTTTCAGGTTCTAGATTAAAATATGATTCGCACACTATATGAAATATGATTTCAACACTCCCAAATCAAATGATATATTATATATGTTTTATATACAATTAATACGTTTTATCTGTGTGTGTGTGTGTGTGTGTAAATAAGTGTGTTTGTGTGTGAGTGTCTGTGTGTGTGTGTGTGTGTGTGTAAATAAGTGTGTGTGTGTGTGAGTGTGTTTGTGTGTGTGTGTGTGTGAGAGCAGTGGTTAAATTGGCTTTTATAGGGAGGGGGAGCCCTTATTTACGGTGAATGGTCATCATTCAAAATCGCGCAGTAATGACTTGTGTGTTTTTACACCAAAGAGGCTCTTTTTCCAGTATTAATGTGTAAGGTAGGGTTGAATACATATTTAAACAAAGAGAAATACTTTACAATTCACTTTTTTTTTTACCTTTAATGTTAACAGACAGCAACGGATTTCACCCTCAGGAAATGTATGAAATTGAACATGTTTGAAAATATTGGTTGGCAAATATAAAAAAAAAAAATGTTGATTTAAAAGAATCAGGGCCAATTTCTTTGGCAGTTTGTTGTTTGATTTAATCACACCGACACGCAGGGCCGTACGGAGGTTTTTATAAATAAAAGTTCCAAAAAATTATCTTGCTAGGGGGGTTTGGGCGGGGGCATCTCAACATGTCCATTTTAAGGTGTTTTGAAGACCAAAAAAAAAAAAAAGGACAACAGTAGCTTTAAAAGCATGTCAGTGGTCAGCATGAAGAAGGCCTATTTTATCAGATAACAGATTCTTTAACATGAGAATCAGTTTAAATGTCGCAATGAGTGATCCACACTATAAAATGGAAATGCAGAATGTTTATGCATATTGCTGACAATACACAATCACATATTCGAAACGGGAATGTCCTTAAATAAGAAATGATTCAAGGATTATTTTGTAGATGTTACATTTCAAACAAACGCCAATGCAATCATTCTGTGCCCAGAGGCATATGAGCAATTAGTATGAGCATCAAAGATCAGTTTCAGCTACTTTTTCTTTCCTAAATCAATCAATATTTTTTGGACTAGCACTAGCTAATCTGTTCATTTAATCAATGGTTCAATTGCTCACTCATAAAGACAGTCACTGGTCGCCGCCTTCTGGCTTAATGATGCAAGTTGCGCAAACACGAACAAGCGGAGTGATACAAACAGTGAAAAGTCGAACACATTCGAGGTAACGTTATACAAATATATTACAATAATAATGGCAATATTTAATAGGGTGCTTGTGTTGTAAAATTGAGCTTATAGTATCCACTGTCTTTGATCAAACTGAGTATTTCTGTCGATCATTTAAAACTTCTATCGACAAACAGCTGTTTAGATTAGCATCTTATCTCGCACGATGTGCCCGTTAACTGAAACGTGAAGCGTCGCGTTGGAATTCGCGCTCGGCTCGCGCTTCTGTGAACATAAATCCCACTTGCTTTGATTGGACTCAAACATTTTGACATTGAGGTGCGGGTGAGTGCTGAAGAGCAGCTCAGACGAGAAGGTCAGTTATCGTTGCGATGGGCGAATCATTGCAGCACCAAATTCGAGTTAATATTAGCGAATTATTTCATAACTTTCATTATATACACTCAACAAAATTTATATATTTGGTGCTGAAGGAGACGGAGCTGAGCTCCGGCAGGGTGTGTTGTGGACCCGAGGAGGCTGAGCTGCGCTCCGGTGCGCTCCGCCCCAATTTAACCTATGTGTGAGAGTGAGTGTTTGTGTGTGTGTTCATGTGTGTGTAAGCGAGTGTGTGTGCGAGTGTGTGTGTATATCATTTTTAGGGCCATTAACGTTTTTTTTTTTTTTTTGCAATACAAAATTACCACAAAAAAAAGACAAATTAGTATGAAAAAATGTTTTACAAAAATGTCTAGACGTATTACGGTCATGAGGATTTGGAGGGAAAATTTTTAATTTTCATGAAAATATCTTAATGCTTAATGGTATATATACTCATACACACACACACACATTAAACTTATATTATACATTTTTATTATTATTAAAATGCTTAATTGTCATAAAATCTTAATGCTTACTGGTGTGTGTATATCATTTTTAATTAATATTATTTACATTTTTTTTTTTAAAGATTTTGGAGTGGAATGAAGTTCACCAATAAAAAACCTAAATGCTAATGACAAATTTTTTTTATATATAAATATAATATAGAAAGCGCACTGAATATGCATTTGTCGGCAGAAAGCACATCTCCTCTCAGACACAATGAGATCCTGAAGAGCTCCAGCTTTAATAACAAACGAGTATCTAAAGATTTCTTTCAAATAAATATTTATAGAGCGCCGAGACTCGAGAGTCTGAGATTCAGCGGAGAGGAATGTGTCGATGGCGTGACGTTCACACACGCAAACATGTGATCGCACACAGCGATACGCGCGTCTCGCTCAGGTTTGACCAGAAACACAATAAATACACAGCAGTATTTAGTAAAGGTTGAGCGAATGCACTGTAAAACACACACATTTTTGGTTTTCAACCCGTAAGAGCAAATAAAAGAGTGTTTGTCAGCGTGTACGAGAACACTGTGAGTTTATTTATAATCTAAAAGACAAAAATACAAGCAGAAAACAGTCAAAATAATAAATCAGACAATAATTAAAAATAACGCGTGGCAAAAAGATATTTCTCTGCTCAGATGAGACTCGAGACGTCCGCTTCCACACGGAGAGTCTGGGGGAGAATCTTCGGGAATCTCGTCAGATCTTGCGTTTCTTCCATTCTGGCTGATCTTTGTCTCCCTCCTCTTCCTCCTCCTCTTCCTCGGCAAACATCGGCTCTGGTTGTGTCCTGTGCAGGGAAAACACACACACACACACACACACGTCATGAGACAGGGTCAGAGTCTCACACAGTGTTTATATGAGAACAGAACGCATGATGTGTTTGACTGTAGCTGTGGCCCAGTGATAGAGAGACACACACTTACAGCCAGAGAGAGAGAGGCAGAGAGAGAGAGAGACAGAGAGAGAGAAAGAAAGAGAGACACACACACTTACAGTCAGAGAGAGAGAGACAGAGAGAGACAGAGAGAGAAAGAAAGAGAGACACACACACTTACAGTCAGAGAGAGAGAGCCCAGTGATAGAGAGAGAGAGACCGACGCTCATCACAAGATTACTTTAATTCGTCCACAGAGCACAGATTAAAACACAACATCTGCTCTGTGTGAGTGAGAGTGTGTGAGTGAAAGTGAGTGTGTGTGTGCGTGCGAGTTTGTGTGTGTGTGTGTGTGTGTGAGTGAGTGAGTGTGTGTGTGCGTGCATGTGTGTGCGTGTGTGTGAGTGAGCATGTGCGTGTGTGTGCGTGTGTATGTGTGTGTGTGAGTGAGCGTGCGTGCGTGCATGTGTGTGCGTGTGTGTGTGCGTGTGTGTGTATGCGTGCGTGCATGTGTGTGTGAACGTGCGTGTGTGCATTCGTGCATGTGTGTGTGTGTACGTGCGTGTGTGTGCGTGCGTGTGTGCGTGCGTGTGTGTGCGTGTGTGTGTGTGTGAGTGAGTGTGTGTGTGTGAGTTTGTGTGTGTGCGCACGCGTGCATGTGTGTGTGTGCAAGTGTGTGTGTGTATGCGTGCGTGCATGTGTGTGTGTGTGCAAGTGTGTGTGTATGCGTGCGTGCATGTGTGTGTGTGTGCAAGTGTGTGTGTATGCGTGCGTGCATGTGTGTGTACGTGTGTGTGCGCGTGTGTGTGTGCGCGTGTGTGTGTGTTCTGACACCTGAACACAGCTATTAAAGCATCACGACAGATTCTCTGAGAGTAACAGGATCATTAGGTCTTTGTGTTGATCAGCGTCGGCGTGTGATTAGACACTAATGATGAAGATACAGTTACACACACACACACACACACTCTGACTAACACAACTTCTGTTCTGAATAAAGCTTCACAAATGTCAAGAGGTCCAATTTAATCATTTAAAAAAAATGTGTTTATATGAAGCATATTCAGAGTTCACAGGTTTATCAATCTTAAGTTCGAAGGTTTTGGGTATTTTGTTGGTAAATCATTTTGAGAATGCTTGTTTCTCTATATGAACGATAATTAACTAATAATAACTGGTATAATACTTGAAATCATATGGAAGCCTGTTTCTGCCATGGAATTAAAAATACAAAAAGGTAATTGAGACGTTTCATCTCACAATTGCAAGAAAAATTCAGAATTCCAAGATAAAAACGGGCAATTTTGAGAAATAAAGCTGCAATTGACAGAAAAAAGTTCAAAAGAGTCACAATTATCAGCAGAGACAGCTTCTGTCGTTAACAAAAAACAAACACGACTGGTAACTAAATTACAATTAACACTCAGTTGCGGAACTAAAGTCAATTTTAAAATGATGAATAAAGAAAAAAATTAAAAAAGCAAATTTCAGCTCTATCAGAATCAGACTGATATTGATAATTAAAACAGAACTAATAACGGTCACTTGTATATTTCCTCGTGTAATTCTTGTATTTTCGACGGGATTCATAAGCGCTGCTCTCGTCACGCACAGGTTTTGTCCTGAACGGACCACCTCGGAAAACAGATCCGTGTGTTATTCTCCAGATAAACATCCACCAGAGGACGAGATGAGCAGATAAAACCCCTGACAGCTTCTTATCGCACTGCATATTTCAGAACCATAAGCACACGCTCCCATAAACACAACATAAACCTGGAGCTTCACATGCGCTCGCTCCAGAAACCCGGGAAACCTTTCATGGAAGCGCATCCCAGGACCAGCACTGCGATCTGGCCGCCTTAGATCTTATTTTAGTAAAAGAAAAAAAAAAAAAAATATATATATAAAACCCAGGATGTAGTTCATCACTGGAGTATGAAGGAAATCATAACAAAGAAATTGCATTTTTGGCAACGACTGTGGATGTTTTATCTGATGATAATCCGTAGAGTAGAGAAGCCAAAAGCCACGAGATAAGGAATGATTTAAAGTTTAAAACTTGATTTGGGCGATTTTGTCTTTTTCTATAAATAAAAATGTAACAAAAACAGAAATTAATTAAATAAAAAAAATATACTTTATATATTTATGTAATAATTAAATAAAAATATATTTTAAGTAAATATATACATATTTAAATCTTGATTTGGGCGATTTTTTCTATAAATAAAAATGTAACAATATCAGAAATGAATTAAATAAAAAAATATACACTATATATTTATTTATGTAATAATTAAATAAAAATATATTTTAAGTAAATATATACATATTTGAAACTTAATTTGGGCGATTTTGTCTTTTTCTATAAATAAAAATATAACAAAACCAGAAATTAATTAAATAAAAAAATATACACTATATATATTTATTTATGTAATAATTAAATAAAAATATATTTTACGTAAATATATACATCTTTGAAACTTAATTTGGGCGATTTTGTCTTTTTCTATAAATAAAAATATAACAAAACCAGAAATTAATTAAATAAAAAAATATACACTATATATATTTATTTATGTAATAATTAAATAAAAATATATTTTAAGTAAATATATACATATTTAAAACTTGACTTGGGTGATTGTCTTTTACTACTAATAAACATTAAACAAAAAATAAATAAAAAATCTTATATATTAGATATAAATTTGTATATATAATTATATATATATATAATAATAAATAAAAAATATTATATAAACTTATCCATGTAATAATTAAATAAAAATATATTTTAAGTAAATTTGTATATTTAAAACCTGACTTGTGATTCTGTCTTTTTCTACCAATAAACATTAAACAAAAATTAATTGAAGAAAAAAGATTATAAATTATATTTACAATTGTTTATATAATAATTAAAATATATATTTTAAGTAAATATATATATTTAAACTTGAGTTTTTCTACCAATTAACAGTAAATATTTATTCCAAACTTAACTAGGGGTAAAGTTTACTACTTCCATAAACAGTTAAAAACATAATATAAAATATATATACACTTATTTATATAACAATTAAATAAACATAGTTTGTGTAATTTTTACTTATATGTTCACACATTCACCCCCCCCCCCCCCCCCCCCCACACACACAACTTGTAATTAAATTGTATTTTTGACAACGACTGTGGATTTTTAGTTCATCCACATACAAAAGCCCTTTAGATAAAGAACGATTCATTTATTTTACCGAACACAAAAATATTTGGACAGTTAAAAACATCAGAATGTCCTTGCATTCGATACAAAACATAATATGAAGGTGTAGTTCGTTGTTCTTCACTCCCTTGCTTTTGTGTTTTGTTAAGTATTGCAAAGACACTCATATATTTTTGACAGTTCACATTCTTTTCGGGTCACAGTATTTGTTATCTCGGGACGGTGGAGTGAAGACGTCACCTGATCTCCAACCCTTCAAACATTAATGCCTCTGTTAGCTGAGGTGTGACACACAGGTGTCATCTGAACGACTGCTCCAGTGTCAGCGTGTGTGTGTGTGTGTGTGTGTGTGTGAGTGTGTGAGACACCCGTCACCTGCTGTAATTACACTGCCTTCTGAGAGATTACCTCTTTACACCAGCATCACATGCATTCTTACAATAACAGTATAAATATATATAAATATACTCGTGTTTCAGTCAATACTGATTCGCAATTTAAATAGACCAAGAAAAATAGATCGATTTAATTTATAAATGGATAACTATAATAGCAAAGATATTGAAATCCTGTTGAATAATCAAATCAATTATTTACGAAGAAATGTTTATCAATTGACCACATACTGTATATATACACTCACCGGCCACTTTATTAGGTACACCTGTCCAACTGCTCGTTAACACTTAATTTCTAAGCAGCCAATCACATGGCGGCAACTCAGTGCATTTAGGCATGTAGACATGGTCAAGACAATCTCCTGCAGTTCAAACCGAGCATCAGTATGGGGAAGAAAGTTGATTTGAGTGACTTTGAACGTGGCATGATTGTTGGTGCCAGAAGGGCTGGTCTGAGTATTTCAGAAACTGCTAATCTACTGGGATTTTCACGCACAACCATCTCTAGGGTTTATAGAGAATGGTCCGAAAAAGAAAAAACATCCAGTGAGCGGCAGTTCTGTGGGCGGAAATGCCTTGTTGATGCCAGAGGTCAGAGGAGAATGGCCAGACTGGTTCGAGCTGATAGAAGGGCAACAGTGACTGAAATAACCACTCGTTACAACCGAGGTATGCAGCAAAGCATTTGTGAAGCCACAACACGCACAACCTTGAGGCGGATGGGCTACAACAGCAGAAGACTCCACCGGGTACCACTCATCTCCACTACAAATAGGAAAAAGAGGCTACAATTTGCAAGAGCTCACCAAAATTGAACAGTTGAAGACTGGAAAAATGTTGCCTGGTCTGATGAGTCTCGATTTCTGTTGAGACATTCAGATGTTAGAGTCAGAATTTGGCGTAAACAGAATGAGAACATGGATCCATCATGCCTTGTTACCACTGTGCAGGCTGGTGGTGGTGGTGTAATGGTGTGGGGGATGTTTTCCTGGCACACTTTAGGCCCCTTAGTGCCAATTGGGCATCGTTTAAATGCCACGGCCTACCTGAGCATTGTTTCTGACCATGTCCATCCCTTTATGGCCACCATGTACCCATCCTCTGATGGCTACTTCCACCATGTCACAAAGCTCTAATCATTTCAAATTGGTTTCTTGAACATGACAATGAGTTCAGTGTACTAAAATGGCCTCCACAGTCACCAGATCTCAACCCAATAGAGCATCTTTGGGATGTGGTGGAACGGGAGATTCGCATCATGGATGTGCAGCCGACAAATCTGCGGCAACTGTGTGATGCCATCATGTCAATATGGACCAAACTCCCTGAGGAATGCTTCCAGCACCTTGTTGAATCTATGCCACGAAGAATTGAGGCAGTTCTGAAGGCAAAAGGGGGTCCAACCCGTTACTAGCATGGGGTACCTAATAAAGTGGCCGGTGAGTGCATATATATATATATATATATATATACACACATATACACATATATATATATATATATATATACACACACATACACACATTAAAATATATAAATTAAAAACTACCATTAACAATATCAAACTGAACAAAAATGAAATTGATATTTAAAGAAAACCGATAGTGTTAAAGATTTAGATTTAGAAAATGAATTTTTTTTAATTAAATTTATAAAAAATTATAATATAGAAATATAGAAATTCTATTTAAAATAGTAATATTACAAAATTACAAGTATTCGTTCTCATTCTCAATTACACTCACACAATTACAAAATAAGCAAGTATTTTGAACTTAATATTGACAACGTATTTTATGAGAAAATATTAAAAAAAAATATTTTTCTATAAATATATATATATATATTCCTCATAAAATATGTTGTCAATATTAAGGTTCAGAACACTTGCTTATTTAGTTTGTAAAAAATCATGGAAATGCTTAATTCAGTACATTAACTATTATAGGAATATACTATTATAGTACATTACATTAACTAATATAGTCTAGGAATACCAGACTTACATTTCACTGCTCGTTGTATGAACTATAACTGGTATGTGACAAATAAACTTTGAACTTTATTATTGAAAAAAAGAAAAAGAAAAAAAATGTACAACTTAAAGTCTTGAAGTTGAAACGCGCAGCATTATTCAGTGTATTGATGTAATTTCCACTGAAACAGGAAGAAGGGGCGGGGCATATCAACATGCCCCTCCCCTTTTTAAAATAGCCAATAGCGTTTAGTTTATATTACAGCTCAGAGCGTTGAGTAAAGCTGCAGTTTCCTCCTAATCTCTAACCGTTTCTCCTCCTATCTCCTCCATATCGCTTTAAAATACAGCATTATCTCCAGAATTCAAATGGATCCGGTACGTTTTCTGATTTGCGGCGACTCGCTCGTATGATCGTGTCTCTGGACCGGAGATGTGGCGGTTCTCGTGATTCTAACGTGAAACCAGACTTTGTTCGCCCCAATGAAAAGCACATGTACACTGTCTGAATCGTTCGTGCCGGTCACCATTGTGGAAAATAGTAAATGTGTGAAGAGTGATTTCAGTCGCACCTTTCTATTTATAGTGTCGGGGGCGGAGCTTCAGATTCTAGAGAGCATTTGATTGGACAGAAAATCTTTTGAGAAGCTGAAGTGCAGAGTGATGTCATGAAGTGAGAGATTGTAAGTTTCTTCCAATAAACAAACAAAAAAAAAATATTTTTTTTTTATAAATTATCTTTAAAATTGTTTATATAATAATTAAAAATATATTTTAAGTAAATATATATATTTAAACTTGACTTGGGTGATTTTTACTTTTTCTACCAATAAACCAGTAGCGGTTTTAGGCACGGGCGAAGAGGGCAGTCGCCCGGGGCGGAATTTTTTCATGTCACATGGGGGGCGGCACGAGCAGTTAAAAAAAAAATCCTCTGCGCCGCGAAGTGGTTTTCTATTTTCTATCATTTCAATTCAATTATTGGCAATGGCGCCCCTGCTTGCTGAGAAGGTGCCGTGCACAGAAGCTATGTCGAGGGGGTCTCTGATTGGAGGAGCTCACCAAGGGGCTGTTCACATGTCGCGTCTTAAATAAATCTTGTAGCAGAGCTACAGCAAGCGTTTTTCGGTGGTGGAAATCCATTAGCTACTAAAACTTCTTTGTCGTTGTAGAGAGCGCAGTGCATGGTTGCATAGCAACGACAGACACCATGGGAAAATCGGACCGAATTTGACTATTAATAATAAAAGATAAGCTAATGTGCATTGTAAATGTCAGTAATTTATCTTTTTTAAATCAATCTTTTTATAAAACTGATTTAAAGGCTGAACTATGTGAGGTTTATCTTTTTATAAAACCTTTTTTCTCAAAACTTTATTTGAACGTGTAGCCTACATGTTAGTAGATAACATAAAAGACAAAGGCAAATCTGGCCATCGTCTTTAATGTTATTAACTTGGTGAATTGATTTCATTGTGTATTAGTAGGCCTACTTTTTAAACAAGATTCTGTGTTTAACCGTGGTCATTTTGGTCACTATATTCATGAAATTAAATTTTCATACCATTTCATCTCTAGTTATGATTAAATCAACTATAATTATGTGTTTTTACAGTAGCCTATAATATGCAAAGTACAATTTTCTATAAAAAAAGAATCTCTGATTCTGTTCTTTTCTCTGACATTTAAGGGTGACATAGGCCTACAAAAGCTATTTTGGTCTAAAACAGTTTGGATAGTTGTTAATATGAGAGTTATGAGACATTATTTAAGAGATTTAAGTATTGTGTTACTACATAAGTAGCTCTCGGCCACTTTCACTTTTAAAAACACTATTTCATGAAAAAGGGGGGGGCGCTCGAGGGGGGTCTCGCCCTGGGTGTAATTCAATGTAGAACCGCCACTGCAATAAACATTAAACAAAAATGTATCAAATTAAATAATATGCATTATATAAATTAATAAAAATTAATTATATTTAATAGAAAAAAAAAATATATATATATATATAAAAACTTTACTAGGTTGATATTGTCTTTCTACCAATAAACATTAAAAAAACAGTGCACTATGTGCCATTTATCATGTGGAAAACAGTAAATATGTGAACATGTGACCGATTTCAGCAGCAGAGTGATGTCATCAAAATCATTAATCCATATTAGCGGAAGTGAGAGACTAAGTTTTGAACGCTTATATCTTCTAAATGCGAGTTTTGTCATTGTTTTGGAGCACACCAGCTTATAGCCAACCTTATACACTGATACACACACACACACTATTTAATACAGTGGCTTTGGCGTGGTGCAGGACACACTGACGTCTGCAGCTCACTCGGGTGCTCCTGTCAGATGAAGTGTGTGTCACTCTGGTGTGTGTCTTACTGTTTATACGCCGGGGCGACCCAGTACGGGTTCTCGGAGGCTTCTTTGGCGTGACGCAGGATGGCCTCTCGAGGGTTGCTGTCATCGGTTTTGTCCAGGGCGATGTTCTTCACGATGAAGGAGGACAGCGTTCCACCGTGAGCCGCCACACGACCCCCCCGACCTGCTCGAGGACACACACAGATCAGAGCCGGACAAACACAGACACCAATACAGCATTCAGATACAAGCGGCCGCCCTCCCTCGCTCACACAGAGGACGTATTATAACCTTCATCAAAGTCTTGTTGTTTCCAGGCTCTACTAGAACAGGTTTTCCTGCTTGAATGTTGATTATTTTCCTCATATTCTCCATTGTTGCGGCTCCTCTCTTCCCAGTCTGTCAGTAACGCTCTGTTTAGTTCCTGTTTCTATGAAACCCCGCCTTCTGAAAAGCACACAGTGCTCTGATTGGTCGGCTGGAGCAGTGTGTTGTGATTGGTCGAGTGTGTTTGGGAAATGTCCCGCTCTTACCATAACCACCAGTTTAACACACTACTAACTAACTCAACCAGGCCCCGCCCCTTTATTCTGCGTATTAATTATTTAAATGAGATATTTACCACAAAAAAATTATATATATAATATATACTTAATACCCCATATACGTAAATAAACAATTTTCTATTTATTATAATAAAATAAAATGTATTTAATGATTTTATATAATTATATAAAAATTAAATATATATATTTCAATATTTTAAATATTATTTATTACATTAGATTTAGATTCAGGGGTTTACTAGTTTAGCCATCATTTTTGTTGGTAGTTATTGATATAATATAATATAATAAAAAAATATATATAATAGAAATGAATGAAACAAAAATAAATAAATAATTAAAATATAATACATAACTTTAATTATATTAAAAAATATAACTACCTGCCATTCCTGCATGATTCAAAGAATGGAATATTGTGACGTGTTCGTTCCCGGAAGAAACTCAAGACTACAATGGAGGCGTTTCAGGAGTTCAGAAACACTGACACTGATATAGAGAATTACTCAGAGCTTCTTCATGCTCAAACTCCAACACTACACTGAACTGGAGAAAAGCATAAAAGGAGCTCTTTAAGCAAAACATCCTCCTGGCCGCGGGTAAAGTGTGTTTATGTAGAGATTAAACATGAGGAGCTGAGACGCGGCGGCTCAAATGATCGGAGAGATTCTGTGAATAAATGTTGATATCCCGATCTAAAGGAGCCCGGATGATCCTCTGCCAAGCCTTCGCTGTAATCTAGAGGAGTGTTTACTCGAGCCGTGAGCATCCAGACTCACACACACTCACTCCAGCGAACTGGACGGCTAAAACTGTCAGATGTATGTGCTGCTTATTTGGGAACTGTGCAAAATTGTGCTTGCTTAATATAAGGTGAAGTTACAATCTGAACAAATGATCAATGATCAACCTCAGAAGAGTCTATATGTCCACCTCAGGAGGGATTATAAAACTATATGAGCTATTTCATTTTATTTCAGTTCATTAACTATAAAATTAAAAAAATTTTGCAACCCTGGTATTGAAACTTGGGATGTAGCAATACGGTTTAAAACTTTTTAAACCAATAGTATTTTTCCACCAATAATAAAAAACAAAACAAAAACTATAATAAAAAATATATATATAGTGTTTTTTGTTTATATATATATAATTTTCTATTTAATTTAATAAAAAAAACATTTATATATAAAATATTTATATATTAAGTATAATTAAGTGAGAGTCTGCTAGTCTGAGAGTCTGTTATGCTTTCTGTACACCTAAAGACTTTGAAAAGATTTAGAAAAGACTTTATAAGATTATCAGCTCACATCTAAAGACTTGGGTTCACAGTTTTTAGTCTCAGACTAAAGATTTTACAAACACTGAATCTTGTAGTGACACTATTTACAGGACTACAACTAGATTATTTTAGCTTTTTATTCCCACCAAATTCCTCCCATCATGCTCAGCAGTGATTTAACAAAAATGGAGGAGAAGCAGCTATAGTTAGCTACTGTATCACATTATGTTGTATGATCCAAAATATGTCTGAAGGTAGGCCTACAGTGGTGGTGGTATATAAGATAAGATAGACCTGACATTCCCACAATGGGGAATTTCTCAGTGTTGCAGCAGCACAGTGGATAGTAAAAAAGAAATATATATATATAATAATAATGTAAACAATATATACAATAAATAAACAGTGCAGTGATGGTGTTCTGCAGGGGGTGGGAGTCACTGCATCATTAAATAATAATAAAAATAATAATAAATGATCATTATTATTAAATTATATAAAGGCAACCATATATGAAAAAATAGGACAACATAAAAGCCTGTCTATTTTTAAACATACGGACATGTAATAACAATTTTAACAATACTGAAGGACCCAGTGATTTAACTAAACTATTTAAAAATAAGGAAGGCCTTTTTAAGACTCTCTGTGAAATGTAATTTAAAAAGAATGCAATTTTTGAGGAGGAATAAATTAGGACACCCCCCATATATTTCCCCCACACTGCTTATGAGTGTGGAAAAGGATTTAAAAAGATGCATATTTCAAAGTACTTTGACATTAGCCATTCCACCATTTTATCTCACTGAATTAATTTCAACAAAGGGGGGTATCACTAGTTATAAGGGATCCTAATTTTTTCCTCCATTAAAATAGGCATTTTTATGCATATTTTTTGTTTGATGAGTAAAAAAATGTTAATTTATATTGTTTAATTACAATAAATCACTTTCTTTTCCAGGAATAAAAAAAAAAAAATCAAATTAGACATTGTTACGTGAACATTTCTTAATAAAGAGTTGACTATTTAATGGAATGACAAGCTCGACAAGGCGCTCCTCTTTATCCACGGTCCATTTTCGCCTACTTGGCGCTCGTTGTGTTTCCACGTCCGTCGACAAGTTTCTTTGTTGTGACTGATGGCTTTCTGTTTCCTGTTTTCTGAGAACGATTTTATTGGTTGTTGATTGTTTTACGTCACTATGACTACGCTAGGACTTGCGATAATATCAAAAATGTTTGATATGAAAGACTAGAGAAAGACTGGCATAAATAGGGTCGCCGACTGCAGATTATCACCTCACATTTAACGATCGAGACGACGGGAGCGCGCCGAGAGTAAGATTCAGTAAGATTCCTAAAAACGGCCGGTCTTTAGTCTGTGAAAATCCTTTGGTGTACGCCCGGCATTAGTCTGCGAGTCTGAGAGTCTGTTAGTCTGAGAGTCTGCGAATCTGGGAGTCTGAGAGTCTGAGAGTCTGAGAATCTGAGAATCTGCGAGTCTGTTAGTCTGTTAGTCTGAGAGTCTGCGAGTCTGAGAGTCTGCGAATCTGGGAGTCTGAGAATCTGAGACTCTGCTAGTCTGAGAGTCTGCGAGTCTGAGAGTGTGAGAGTCTGTGAGTCTGTGAGTCTGAGAGTCTGGGGGTCTGAGAGTCTGCGAGTGTGAGAGTCTGTGAGTCTGTGAGTCTGCGAGTCTGCTAGTCTGAGAGTCTGAGAGTCTGAGACTCTGCTAGTCTGAGAGTCTGCGAGTCTGAGAGTGTGAGAGTCTGTGAGTCTGTGAGTCTGTGAGTCTGAGAGTCTGTGAGTCTGAGAGTCTGCGAGTCTGCGAGTCTGAGAGTGTGAGAGTCTGTGAGTCTGCGAGTCTGCGAGTCTGCGAGTCTGCGAGTCTGCGAGTCTGAGAGTCTGCGAGTCTGCGAGTGTGAGAGTCTATGAGTCTATGAGTCTATGAGTCTGCGAGTCTGCGAGTCTGTTAGTCTGAGAGTCTGTGAGTCTGAGTCTGAGAGTCTGAGAGTCTGAGAGTCTGCGAGTCTGCGAGTCTGAGAGTCTGTTAGTCTGAGAGTCTGCGAGTCTGTGAGTCTGTGAGTCTGCGAGTCTGAGAGTCTGAGAGTCTGCGAGTCTGTGAGTCTGCGAGTCTGCGAGTCTGCGAGTCTGCGAGTCTGAGACTCTGAGTCTGAGAGTCTGCGAGTCTGCGAGTCTGAGACTCTGAGTCTGAGAGTCTGCGAGTCTGAGACTCTGAGTCTGAGAGTCTGCGAGTCTGCGAGTCTGAGAGTCTGCGAATCTGAGAGTCTGCGAGTCTGAGAGTCTGAGAGTCTGCGAGTCTGAGACTCTGCTAGTCTGAGAGTCTGCGAATCTGCGAATCTGAGAGTCTGCTAGTCTGAGAGTCTGCGAGTCTGAGAGTCTGCGAATCTGAGACTCTGCTAGTCTGAGAGTCTGAGAGTCTGCGAATCTGGGAGTCTGCGAATCTGGGAGTCTGAGACTCTGCTAGTCAGAGTCTGCGAGTCTGAGACTCTGCTAGTCTGAGAGTCTGAGAGTCTGCGAATCTGGGAGTCTGCGAATCTGGGAGTCTGAGACTCTGCTAGTCAGAGTCTGCGAGTCTGAGAGTGTGAGAGTCTGTGAGTCTGAGAGTCTGTGAGTCTGAGAGTCTGAGAGTCTGAGAGTCTGAGAGTCTGAGAGTCTGCGAGTCTGAGAGTCTGAGAGTCTGAGAGTCTGAGAGTCTGCGAGTCTGCGAGTCTGCGAGTCTGCGAGTCTGAGAGTCTGAGAGTCTGCAAGTCTGCGAGTCTGCGAGTGTGAGAGTCTATGAGTCTATGAGTCTGCGAGTCTGCGAGTCTGTTAGTCTGAGAGTCTGTGAGTCTGTGAGTCTGAGAGTCTGCGAGTCTGCGAGTCTGCGAGTCTGAGAGTCTGTTAGTCTGAGAGTCTGCGAGTCTGCGAGTCTGCGAGTCTGTGAGTCTGAGAGTCTGAGAGTCTGCGAGTCTGCGAGTCTGCGAGTCTGCGAGTCTGTGAGTCTGCGAGTCTGTGAGTCTGAGAGTCTGCGAGTCTGAGACTCTGAGTCTGAGAGTCTGCGAGTCTGCGAGTCTGAGACTCTGAGTCTGAGAGTCTGCGAGTCTGCGAGTCTGAGAGTCTGCGAATCTGAGAGTCTGCGAGTCTGAGAGTCTGAGAGTCTGCGAGTCTGAGACTCTGCTAGTCTGAGAGTCTGCGAATCTGAGAGTCTGCTAGTCTGAGAGTCTGCGAGTCTGAGAGTCTGCGAATCTGAGACTCTGCTAGTCTGAGAGTCTGAGAGTCTGCGAATCTGGGAGTCTGCGAATCTGGGAGTCTGAGACTCTGCTAGTCAGAGTCTGCGAGTCTGAGAGTGTGAGAGTCTGTGAGTCTGTGAGTCTGAGAGTCTGTGAGTCTGAGAGTCTGAGAGTCTGCGAGTCTGCGAGTCTGAGAGTGTGAGAGTCTGTGAGTCTGTGAGTCTGCGAGTCTGCTAGTCTGAGAGTCTGAGACTCTGCTAGTCTGAGAGTCTGCGAGTCTGAGAGTGTGAGAGTCTGTGAGTCTGAGAGTCTGTGAGTCTGAGAGTCTGCGAGTCTGCGAGTGTGAGAGTGTGAGAGTCTGTGAGTCTGTGAGTCTGTGAGTCTGCGAGTCTGCGAGTCTGCGAGTCTGCGAGTCTGTGAGTCTGAGAGTCTGAGAGTCTATGAGTCTATGAGTCTATGAGTCTATGAGTCTGCGAGTCTGCGAGTCTGCGAGTCTGCGAGTCTGCGAGTCTGAGACTCTGCGAGTCTGAGAGTCTGAGAGTCTGAGAGTCTGTGAGTCTGTGAGTCTGAGAGTCTGCGAGTCTGAGAGTCTGTTAGTCTGAGAGTCTGCGAGTCTGAGACTCTGAGTCTGAGAGTCTGCGAGTCTGAGACTCTGAGTCTGAGAGTCTGCGAATCTGAGAGTCTGCTAGTCTGAGAGTCTGCTAGTCTGAGAGTCTGCGAATCTGAGACTCTGCTAGTCTGAGAGTCTGCGAGTCTGAGAGTATGCGAATCTGAGACTCTGCTAGTCTGGGAGTCTGCGAGTCTGTGAGTCTGAGAGTGTGAGAGTCTGAGACTCTGCGAGTCTGTGAGTCTGTGAGTCTGAGAGTCTGTGAGTCTGAGTCTGAGACTCTGCGAGTCTGTTAGTCTGAGAGTCTGAGTCTGAGAGTCTAAGAGTCTGCGAGTCTGAGAGTCTGAGAGTCTGCGAGTCTGAGAGTCTGCGAGTCTGAGAGTCTGGGAATCTGAGACTCTGCTAGTCTGAGAGTGTGAGAGTCTGAGAGTGTGAGAGTCTGTGAGTCTGTGAGTCTGAGAGTCTGCGAGTCTGTTAGTCTGCGAGTCTGTTAGTCTGCGAGTCTGCGAGTGTGATTCTGAGAGTCTGAGAGTCAGCGAGTCTGTGAGTCTGAGAGTCTGCGAGTCTGTTAGTCTGCGAGTGTGAGTCTGAGAGTCTGAGAGTCAGCGAGTCAGCGAGTCTGCGAGTGTGAGAGTGTGAGAGTCTGTGAGTCTGAGAGTCTGAGAGTCTGAGAGTCTGAGAGTCTGCGAGTCTGAGAGTGTGCGAGTCTGAGAGTGTGAGAGTGTGAGAGTCTGTGAGTCTGTGAGTCTGAGAGTCTGTGAGTCTGCGAGTCTGCAAGTCTGCGAGTCTGAGAGTCTGCAAGTCTGCGAGTCTGTTAGTCTGAGAGTCTGCTAGTCTGAGAGTCTGTTAGTCTGTTAGTCTGAGAGTCTGCGAGTCTGAGAGTATGCGAATCTGAGACTCTGCTAGTCTGGGAGTCTGCGAGTCTGTGAGTCTGAGAGTGTGAGAGTCTGAGACTCTGCGAGTCTGTGAGTCTGTGAGTCTGAGAGTCTGTGAGTCTGAGTCTGAGACTCTGCGAGTCTGTTAGTCTGAGAGTCTGAGTCTGAGAGTCTAAGAGTCTGCGAGTCTGAGAGTCTGAGAGTCTGAGAGTCTGCGAGTCTGAGAGTCTGCGAGTCTGAGAGTCTGGGAATCTGAGACTCTGCTAGTCTGAGAGTGTGAGAGTCTGAGAGTGTGAGAGTCTGTGAGTCTGTGAGTCTGAGAGTCTGCGAGTCTGTTAGTCTGCGAGTCTGTTAGTCTGCGAGTCTGCGAGTGTGATTCTGAGAGTCTGAGAGTCAGCGAGTCTGTGAGTCTGAGAGTCTGCGAGTCTGTTAGTCTGCGAGTGTGAGTCTGAGAGTCTGAGAGTCAGCGAGTCAGCGAGTCTGCGAGTGTGAGAGTGTGAGAGTCTGTGAGTCTGAGAGTCTGAGAGTCTGAGAGTCTGAGAGTCTGAGAGTCTGCGAGTCTGCGAGTGTGCGAGTCTGAGAGTGTGAGAGTGTGAGAGTCTGTGAGTCTGTGAGTCTGAGAGTCTGTGAGTCTGCGAGTCTGCAAGTCTGCGAGTCTGAGAGTCTGCAAGTCTGCGAGTCTGAGAGTCTGTTAGTCTGAGAGTCTGCTAGTCTGAGAGTCTGAGAGTCTGTTAGTCTGTTAGTCTGAGAGTCTGCTAGTCTGAGAGTCTGCGAGTGTGAGAGTCTTCAGGAGGTTCAGCTCACCTGGACCGGAGACGGGCGGCTCGGGTTTGTGGGATTTCAGAGGATCCAGTCGGTCCTTTTCCAGCTGCTTTCTGGTGCTGCGCTGACGAGCCTCACGAAACATCGGCAGAGCGTGAGCTGAGAAACACACCAATCACATGACATGAACAACATGAACCAAAAATACAGCTTTTGTCCCTGTTTTTCTATAGCGAGGGAGTTACACTGCAAAAATAACGCTTTTCTTACGTAGTATTTTTGTCTTGTTTCCAGTTCAAAATTGAAAAATTCTTAAGTCAAGATGCATTAACTAGATGAGTAAAATGAAGATATTATGTCCTGTTTTCCAGGGGAACTAATCAAAATTAAGTGAGTTTTTGCTTAAAAAAAGCTAAATTATCTGCCAAAGGTGTACGAAAAATAATCTTAATTCAAACAGAAACAACTTTATTTTTCTTACCCCATTGGAAGATAATTTTGCTTGTTTTAAGCAAAAACTCACTTAATTGGTATTTATATCCCCAGAAAACAAGACTTAATATCTTATGTACTTTTACAACTTAAGTAATGCATCTTGATTTAAGACATGTTTGATATTTGGACTGGAAACAAGAGAAAAATACTTAGTAAGAAAAGCATTTTGTGCAGTGTGAGTGAAGCAGTGTGTGTGTTTGCTGATCGTCAGGTTAGTCAGGACTCCTACATGAGTTAGTGGCCCGCTTCATGTGTTACTTTAGGCCCCAGAAACCAATGTAATGTCTTTTTTTGGCCTTTTTTGTAAATAAAATCCTTTCTTTGATATTATCATCTGGTGTCATCTTCACTCTGGGACAGAGGATTGACGTGTGTTCTTTACGCGTTTCCCTTTGTTCCCTATCTCCCCCCCAACCCCTCGACGGGAACGTAACAACACACACCTCAGGAAATACTACGCTCTTCAAACGCGCCGTAGCAACACTGGCTTTATTTACTTTTGATTAAGTTGCACACATTTCACAGTTTGCCAAACCCAACCAAAATAAATGGCTGGATGTGTGTGTGTGTGTGTGTGTGTGTTTTACTCCAGGGTCACAGGGATACATAGGAAAGATGGAGCGATTTTCCATTCAGGCCTGATTCCACACACACACCCACACACACACACACGCTACATTAAGCAAAAAGGTTAGCGGTGACACATGCCGTTTTTTCCTCACTGGCCCATCATCCTGTTTCACGTCACCTCAGATTTTCCATCGCTATTTCCTGAGCGATACGGGAGTGTTGTGGTGTGCGAGTTTTGAAGGGTTTTTAAGTTCACGGTGTTGATCACGCGCTGGTGTGTGTGACGCTCTCGTGGCTCACGCGTGTCTGATGGAGTCTCGCGCGCTAATGGCATCGTGACCCTCGGGTGAGACTCGGAGCGGGGCAATCCGATGGAAAGCACTCAATCCGTGCAAACACACACACACACACACACACACACACACACACACACACACACACACACACACACACACACAGAGAGACAGACAGACAGAGAGAGAGAGACACACACACACACTCTCACACATACACTCACACACAGAGAGACACACACATAGAGACACACAGACACACACACACACACACTCTCACACACAGAGACACACACAGTCACACACACACTCTCACACACACACTCTCTCACACACACACACACACACACACACACACACACACAGATACACACACACACAGAGAGACACACACAGAGACACACATAGAGACACAGACAGAGAGACACACACACACACACACACTCACACAAAGAGCGACACACACACACACAGGTTAATGGGTTTGTGGCAGGACTGAGTATAGGATGGGTGAGTCGGGACTAATATCATCATCCACTGATGCTCGTGTGTCTGTGGACGTTCAGCGGTCGCATATTGTCAATAAATAAATATTAATAAAAATAATTATTATAATTATAGAAATTAAGCCTTATAACAGTACTAGTCCATATAAAGTGTGCACTAAAAATCCTTTTTTTCTAATACAAAATTTGACATTACTAATTGTATCAGCCAAATGATTTTTTGTGTTACTAATAGCAGTACAATAATAAATAAATGCAACATTTAATATATATATATATATATATATATATATATATATATATATATATATATATAATAATTAATAAAAATAATCAAATTAAATTTATAAAATATATTTGCAATATTGAAATAAATAAATATCAAAATAAAATATTTATCGAAATAAATATTTTTATTATATTTATTAGGCTGGATTTAGATTTCTAATCAAGAATGATTTCTGAATATTATTAATATTAATACAGAGCGAATAATATTTTTATTATCTGATTATTAAACACTTTTGTGGAAATCGTCAATAGATTTTTTACATTTTCATGATTATTTGAAAAATAGAGAGTTCAAAAGAACAGCATTTATTTGAAAAATAAATCTTTTGTAACTTTAAAAATTAAAATTAACGTCACTTTTGATCAGTTTAATGCACAGGAAGTGAAAGACGGCCCAATCGAGAACAGATTTAATTGTGATATCGATACATTTTGTACATTTCGTGGTCGCCATGATGAAACAGTTTATCATTTATTTAGGAGTTGTCCTCATTCATTCTTATGACAAATCTTATCATAAGGAATATTACTTCATTAATCTGCTTCTTATTTTAGCTAAATTTAGTATTCATAAATGTAAATTTGAAGGAAACACGCCTTTGTTTTTAATTTTAAGATCAGAAATTCAACAATACCTAAACACAATATTAGGTTTGAAATATAAGAAAACTGCAAAGTGTGTTTCAGTCTGTAAACATTTTCACATTTTTGTTTAACTTTTAAGTTTGTCACTGTATCTTTATACACAGGTGAAACTCGAAAAATTTGAATATCGTGCAAAAGTTCATTTATTTCAGTAATTCAACTTAAAAGGTAAAACTAATATATTATATAGACTCATTACATGAAAAGTGAGATATTTCAAGCCTTTATTTGTTATAATTGTGATGATTATGGCTTACACCTTATGGAAACCCCAAATTCAAAATTAGAATATTGTGAAAATATTCATCAAAATCATCAAATATCTCACTTTGCATGTAATGAGTCTATATAATATATTAGTTTCACCTTTTAAGTTGAATTACTGAAATAAATGAACTTTTGCACCATATTCTAATTTTTCGAGTTTCACCTGTATGTCTTTTTTGTTTGTTTGTTTGTTTGTTTGTTTGTTTGTTTACTTAATGTACATTACCCCTGACAGTAAATTCTTTAAAATCAATAAAATTCAATAAATAAAAAAAGACGGCCCAATCGAGCAGCAAGACATCAGAGCACACGTGTAAAACTGCTAGGCCATGGCTCTGACACACACACATATATATAACAATATCTGCATATGTATTTGAGCAGATTTCCATATGATCTGGTCCTATACTCACGGGTGATGATGTAATCTTGTGTCAGCGTCTCGGCGTGTTTCTCCTTCGTCTTGCTCTTCACCACACACAACATGGCACCTCTGAAGAACAAACGCAGACAACAGCTTTTAAAATTAAACAACATAAGCTTTAAAACAACTATAACTCAAGATATAAAATGATATATTTTAATTCATTGCCTCAAATTTGTATTATTATTTAAGAACCAGAAATCTCACTATCATGCAAACACACTGTTTTGAATGAAAAAATGCATGGAAATACCACAAAATAAATAAATACAATTATATAGTATTCTCAGGGTCTTGGAAAACCTGGATATATGAAGGAATATAAATATAAATAAGCTCTAAAATATATATTTTTTTATTTGTGAGTAAAGAAATTATGAACTACTAAAAAAATGTTTATTTATTATTATATACATTTAATTATTTTAAAAATGTAATTACAGAATGTATTTATTATTAAACTAAATATTAAATATATATATATTACCACTCTTAATTTTTGTAAATAAAAAAATATTATATTATGTCAAGCTCTAAAATATATAGGTAAACATTACTGGGTCTACTGGAAAATGTAATTATAGAATGTATTTATTATCATATAAATTATTTTAAATATAAATGATATATATATAGATGTCAAGATCTAAATGATTAAATTAGACTGAAATTGCTATTTGTGAATAAAAATGTTAAAATTTAAAAAAACAATTATGAACAATTATTTTATTTATTATTGTATAAATACTTTATTTATTATAAATAAATATAATTATTAATTATTTTATCAGGTAAACATTACTGGGTCTACTGGAAAATGTAATTATAGAATGTATTTATTATCATATAAATTATTTTGTCCATATTACCACTCCTTTAAAAAAAACAAAAAAAAACATTTAAATATAAATTATATATATATAGATGTCAAGATCTAAATTATTAAATTAGATTGAAATTGCTATTTGTGAAAAAAAAAAAAAAAAAAAAAATTATGAACAATTATTTTATTTATTATTGTATAAATACTTTATTTATTATAAATAAATATAATTATTAATTATTGTATCAGGTAAACATTACTGGGTCTACTGGAAAATGTAATTATAGAATGCATTTATTATCATATAAATTGTTTTGTCCATATTACCACTCCTTTAAAAAAAAAGAAAAGAAAACATTTAAATATAAATGATATATATATAGATGTCAAGATCTAAAAGATTAAATTAGACTGAAATTGCTATTTGTGAATAAAAATGTTAAAAGTTGTAAAAAACAATTATGAACAATTATTTTATTTATTATTATATAAATACTTTATTTATTATAAATAAATATAATTATTTTAATATATTACCACTCCTAGTTTTTGTAAATAAAAAGGTTTGAACACAAAAGCGCTTTGTTTCGAATTTTTTCCTGGACAATTTGCCTTGTGTTTGACAACAGGACGTGACTTAGTTCCAAGCGTGCAGACGATTGATTTGGCCCTAATGGAGTCATCATGAACGAGACCGAGACGGAGTGAGTCATTCGCTGAGTTTCCTCGCTTTCATCATTCGGTTTAATCATCAGTGCAAATCTGTCTGTAATGGTGACTGGACACACACGGGCGTAAACACAGGGTGAAGTGTGAAGTGTGTCGAGACCTCTGACTCTTGACTGGGTCGTAGTAAACCTTCGCCAGACCGTTCCCCGTTCCAACCATGATCTGGTTCAGCTTGGGATGCCAAAGACAACGGACGACACTCTGAAACAACACCAGAGGAGAGAACGAGAGTGAGAACTCATTATAGAGAGACAGATTTCTTTATCAAAAAAAAATTAACTTATGCATTTGGATGGCTATATATGGTCATTTAGAAAATGCACTCGAAAGCCTATTAATCCTAAACGAAAACTCAGAACTTCACGAAAATTGGTGAGCGTATGTGACAAAACATTCTAAACAAGCATGCCAAATTTTATGGCGATTGGATCACAGGTGGCGCTATAACTGTAAAAAAGCTTTGAAAACTGTATATTTCCTATGGTAAATTGTCTGTAAATGGCGTTTTCCATCTCTGTAATCACGTGGTGTTGCACACATCCACACAATATGCATATCATTTGATAGATCTCCTCATACTGAACAACTTTGCATTCACATACACATTTTATTTGTCCTCGAGAGGAAATTTGTTTCCACCGTAGATGCGAACATAACAAAAATACACATTACATGTTAAATTATCAACATATCAGAATACATTTAAAAAAGTAACGTATCAAAATCTTACTATTCCTGGCCTTTCTACACATCGGTAACCTATACCTATGGCCAGAGGGATACAACATGTGTAAAGAGGGTGGTCTGGGTCGTTTAAGATGTAGAGTTTAATGTAGAGACACAATCCAATAAATTAGGGGTAGGGATACCAATTATTTTACTTGCTAAATAAGTTATCTTTAAGAATTTGTTCTTGTTGGTAACTGTTAGCATATGGAAAAAACAAATGGCACCATATGTAAGGACTGGCTCAACAATACTGCGATATAACAGAAGACGACGACGCGGCTGAACAGACAAGCGTCTAAGTTTACAAATATCTGTCAGTCTTCGCTGACAGCACTTGTAAACCCCTAGTTTAGTGGTTTAGTGAAGTTGAGATTTCATAATTTTTTATGAAATCATATTATTTTGAATGAAATCATATTATTTGAACATAAACCGATGGCAGAGGGTGACGTCTGATATCTCTCGCCCTCCAGCTCATCTCCAGTTGACTATATTTGGCGTTCGGGAAGAGGCCTGGATCTGGATGACAAACGGGGCATGTGTGAGGATTTGTGGGCATGTGTGTGTGTGTGTGTGTGAGACGGAGGAACAGACTCATGAATACCTGGAATCACATGCATGGGAAACGTCTTCATGCAGAACATTTCTACACTGTAAACCCTACACTGTAAACAATTATATGATCAATAAGTAATGTCAACATATGTTTTTACATTGCTTTAACTCATCAAAATAAGTAAAGTTTTTTTATAAGTTATACAAGATTCAAAAAATTTTGAAGTCAGTTTAATGCAATTTAAGTTGAAATGACTTAAACATCAGAGTTGATGTTTTTTTTTATTTTTACAGTGTAATGCTCAAAATAATTAATTGGTAAACTTAAACTATTTTGTTCAAATAAATTAACTTTTATGGGTATTTAGAAACTTTCTTTTTCTTTTGAGTTCACAAAACTGACACATTTTACGTAATCTGAATTGTTTCATGGTTTTGAGTTTTATTAACTTGTTTCTTTTAATTTAGATTTAATTTAATTTAGAAACTTAAATTTAAATGAAACTGGGCTGGGATTTCTATTTCCCAGCATGCTTTGCTATGGCACTTGAAAGGGAGAGTAAATCCTAAAATTAAATGTTCTAAAAAAAAAAAAGAAATGTGTGCAAGATTAATGTTAATTGGGAGATTTAGTACTTTAATTGAGTTAACATTGTGTTACCAATTATCAAGTTAGCATTTATTGAATTAGCTAGTTTACATAAGGAAATAATAATAGTGACAACATCCACTATGTAAAATATTATATAAAAGAAATAACTTTTTTTAAAATGTTATGCTCTCAAATCTCATTTGCATTTTAATTGAAAGCTATAGAGGAAGAATGTCAGTGAATAACGACTTAAATTTGGGTCTGTATCCTATGAATTTTGCGAAATATACTAAATATCTGTCAGTCACATTTATTTATAAAGCACATTTAAAAACAACAGATGTTGGCCAAAGTGCTGTACAAATTTTAAGCAAAAAATATTAAAACTAGGACACAACACATAATCACATGCAATGCACAAAGTATATCACTGCACCTACTTATGACTTTATGCAGTAATAAATATGATGATTTTAAATCCGTTCTTAACTCATCTATGTTGATGCAGATTTAATGTAAAGTAGCAGATTATTCCAGAGCTGTGGAGCAGCCAATGAAAAGGCACAAATCCTGGGAACAATCAACCGTAGACTATTATTGGTTGATCGAAAGATGTCTGGATGTATGATGAAATGAAAGGAGATCCGAAATACATGGAAGAGCCAAACCGTGGAGGCCCTTATAAACAAACGATAATGCTTTAAACTGGATACGATATTTGACTGGAAGACCAGCACTGGCGAAATATGTTCCCTTTTCTTTGTTCCAGTCAAAAGTCTAGCTGGACAAGCTGGAGACGTGACAGTAAAGACTGTGAGACACCCAAGAACAATACATTACAATAACACAGTCGGGATAAGATGAAAGCTTGCATTACAGACTCCAAATCTTTGGATGATAAAAAAATGACTTCATTTTGGCTATTTTCTTAAGGTGATAGAAGCAATTTCTGACCACAGCATTAACTTGTTTATCAAATGTCAATGCTGAATCATACATTTATAGCATGTGTATGAATGTTAGCAGATAAAAGGGCCTAATTTACTGACAAACATCTCTGTGGAAGCAGAGGGGCCAAAAACTAAGATTTCTGACTTTGCTTCATTTAATTGAAGGAAATTGGCTGACATCCAATGACTGTCATCCTGCAAAAAATCAAATAAACACTGTCAACTAGAAACATAATTTTGATGTAAGGGAAAGGAACACTGATTGTCATCTGCACAACAGTGGTATGAAAAATTATATTCCCTAAAAATGGCATACAAAGGGATCATGTGTAACGAAAATAAAACTGGACCCAGCATTGAGACCTGTGGAACCCCATACAAAACTGATGCACAAGATGACGAATAACTTCCAATCTCCACAGAAAAGGTCCTGTCTTTTAAATATGAAGCAAACCCATTTAAAGCACAACAATATAGAGCATTAAAGTCATACGGACGACTTCTATGGTCTTTGCATAGGGTTTCTGTCCTTTTTTTGGGAGCTTGACAGATGTGATCACTGTCAAGCAAACATGGCGCATTGAAAGGAAATGCATGAAGATAACACAAATAAATTAATAAATAAAAAGTAAAACTAAAGTAAAACAAAACAGGTTTGGAATAAATTTAGTAAATAATGAAGCTGTACAGAAAAAAGGCGATCACATTAAATGGATGGATGGATAGATGATGGATGGATGGATAAGACGGAATAGATGTATGGATGGATGAAATGCAGATCATTCCCTATGCAGATCATTCTCTTTGCGGATCGTTCACAGTGCGGATCATTCCCTGTGCGGATCGTTCACTGTGCGGATCATTCACTGTGCGGATCATTCCCTGTGCATATCATTCACTGTGCGGATCGTTCACTGTGCGGATCGTTCACTGTGCGGATCGTTCACTGTGCGGATCGTTCACTGTGCGGATCATTCACTGTGCGGATCATTCCCTGTGCATATCATTCACTGTGCGGATCATTCCCTGTGCATATCATTCCCTGTGCATATCATTCACTGTGCGGATCATTCCCTGTGCGGATCGTTCACTGTGCGGATCATTTACTGTGCGGATCATTCCCTGTGTGGATCATTCCCTGTGCGGATCATTCCCTGTGCATATCATTCACTGTGCGGATCATTCCCTGTGCGGATCATTCCTTGTGCATGTCATTCCCTGTGCGGATCATTCCCTGTGCGGATCATTCCCTGTGCGGATCATTCCCTGTGCGGATCATTCCCTGTGCATGTCATTACCTGTGCGGATCATTCCCTGTGCATGTCATTCCCTGTGCGGATCATTCCCTGTGCGGATCATACCCTGTGCATGTCATTCCCTGTGCGGATCATTCCCTGTGCGGATCATTCCCTGTGCGGAACATTCCCTGTGCGGATCATTCCCTGTGCGGATCATTCCCTGTGCATGTCATTCCCTGTGCGGATCATTCCCTGTGCGGATCATTCCCTGTGCATATCATTCACTGTGCGGATCATTCCCTGTGCGGATCATTCCCTGTGCATGTCATTCCCTGTGCGGATCATTCCCTGTGCGCATCATTCCCTGTGCGGATCATTCCCTGTGCATGTCATTCCCTGTGCGGATCATTCCCTGTGCATGTCATTCCCTGTGCGGATCATTCCCTGTGCGCATCATTCCCTGTGCGCATCATTCCCTGTGCGGATCATTCCCTGTGCATGTCATTCCCTGTGCGGATCATTCCCTGTGCGGATCATTCCCTGTGCATGTCATTCCCTGTGCGGATCATTCCCTGTGCATATCATTCCCTGTGCGGATCATTCCCTGTGCGGATCATTCCCTGTGCATATCATTCACTGTGCGGATCATTCCCTGTGCGGATCATTCCCTGTGCATGTCATTCCCTGTGCGGATCATTCCCTGTGCAGATCATTCCCTGTGCGGATCATTCCCTGTGCATGTCATTCCCTGTGCGGATCATTCCCTGTGCATGTCATTCCCTGTGCGGATCATTCCCTGTGCGGATCATTCCCTGTGCGGATCATTCACTGTGCGGATCGTTCACTGTGCGGATCATTCCCTGTGCGGATCATTCCCTGTGCATGTCATTCCCTGTGCGGATCATTCCCTGTGCGGATCATTCCCTGTGCGGATCATTTCCTGTGCATGTCATTCCCTGTGCGGATCATTCCCTGTGCATGTCATTCCCTGTGCGGATCATTCCCTGTGCGGATCATTCCCTGTGCGGATCATTCCCTGTGCGGATCGTTCACTGTGCGGATCGTTCACTGTGCGGATCGTTCACTGTGCGGATCATTGACTGTGCGGATCATTCACCGTGCGGATCATTCCCTGTG